AAATTATCACTTAAAGGGGGCGTGGCTTATTACATAGAGTAAAATTTCCACACATTTCACAGTCCATAAAATCATAATAGATCACCAGTGTGTCTGACAGAGCTGAAATTTTTTTCAGCACATCCACTGAATTGTGACAAAACTTCGTCATGCCGCAACCTGTAGTCAATTCAGAAGTCTGTCACTCTATATTTTTAAGAATATGTAAAATTTATTAACATCTATATCTCCAAAAGTCTTCATCTAAATGCAACCATCGTTGCCACAAACATTCTGTGGATACTAGATGTCACATATGTCAAATGGTGTTCAGATTGGTTTAACAGTTAGCTCACAGTGATATTTATTATCTTGTTGTACTTTGTACTGTATGCACAACATTTTCTGTTACATATTATTCTTAACCAAATGTCACCAAAATATTTGACAATATTCCTGAAATCAGCAGAATGATGAGATTTTTTCCAGAATTATTTCACCAATACATTAACTGTTATTGATATCTCATTGCTTTTTGAAGGTATTGACCAATGAAGTTTAAAGGGGGCGTGGCTCAGCAAATGACTCCACAAAGTTTGGACCAATCATCACAGAGGCACCAGGAACATATCCTGAACGTTTCCTTTAAGTTGACCACTAGGGGGCACCACTAATACAAAAAATGAGCATGCAATAACACAAATCAGACTAAAAATCAGAAATATATCTTGTCTAATCGTTACAAAACTTGCAGGATATGCTAAATAATAATTATGAGCCATATGTTAAATTTGTTTTTAATTAGTCTACAGGGGGCGCCACCTGTTCCACACAGCCCAGGTGATCTTACAACTGACCAAGATTGGGACTGCAATCAACTGGAGAAGAGCAGCCTCCTACTACACCATGATGTCATGCCGCAACAGGGCGTTCATTCATCAGGCTCCACCCACTGTACCCAAAGAGTCCAGGGGTGAGATAGAACGAAGGTTACGATAGTATAACACTAGTTCTATCAGCACAGATGAAACCCTCTGCATAGGGGCCCTGACACTGCTTTGTGGCTCGCTGAAGAGGGTGTAGGATGTCACACACAGGAATCTGTCTCCTTATATACTGAGGGGTCCGCAAATGTTCAGATAGGCAGGTCTGGATTGGCTGGTTACATTTATACCTTTCTCAGTGGGCAAATGCGTGCTCATGGTTAGAGGAGTATTACCCAGGATTCATATGAACTTGATTGTGGATATGGTGGACAAACAATATCACTCTGGACATAGGATCACAACATGGAAACAGCTGATCCTTACAACTCAATCTGGGTGAAATGAGTGTGTAAATTAATTTTTTGGGATGGTGGCCATATTGGTAATATGCAAATTAGAGGACATTAATAAAACATGATTGACATAAAATATGATTTAGCAATAAATGCTGAATCTGCATGTTCTAATGTGTTTCTAATGCTTAAACATATGGAACACCAAGTTTGTTAAAAAACAACAACAACACTTACTTTAATTTGCCACCATCTTGGGAATATGCAAATTAGGGGTCCAGATGCATCCACCAACACCAACTTTGCACTTGTGGCTCATCTAGTTCAAATGTTAGAGCCGAAATGGTTACTAGTCGGCAGCCATATTGGATTTTGCCACAGTCATCAGAATGCCTATCTGCGATGTTCAATTTCCAGATTCCTTTGAAATACATTAATTTAAATATGTAGGCCTACTGAATTTGGTGCATTTTATATGGAGCTACATTAGGGTCAAATGTTTTGTACTTGAAAAAATAAAATTTGAAACTGAAAATTTATGTGTTGATCTTGAATTTTGAAAAATACAACAATGTATTCAAAATAAAAATAAGTGTATGAAACGTTTTTTTCAGGTTAAATATAATTTTGATTCACTTTGGTAATTCTTTTGCATAAATAATTTATTTTCACTTTTCACTTCCATATATATTTTAACATTTGAGGTCTTATTTTTTTCAGTTGTATGTTTTATCCTTTCAGATTCAAATCTTATTTTTTACAGTTTCAGATCTTTTTTTTCAGTTTCAAATCTTTTTTTTTTTCAGTTTCAGACTTTT